CATGGTGTTCAGTACAAGGTGTCAACAAGGGTCAAAAAGAGCATCATCTGGAAAACACGTTTGCAGAAACACATTTGTATACAAACACCTGATAAACAGTGAAAACAGAGAGTGCGTAATCATTTAGATGTTGTTGTTTTTGTCTCTGATGCTTTCCAAAAGGCAAATAAAAAAAATCTGGAAAACCTTTTACAATTTAGAATGAATGCTATACACTTACCGGCCACTTTATTAAGCTGTGGTGTTGATGCTCAATTGGTAACGGGCCCAAAGTGTGCCAAGAAAATATCCCCTACACCTTTACACCACCACCACCAGCCTGAACTGTTGATACAAGACAGGATGGAACCATGCATTCATGTTGTTGATGCCAAATTCTGACCCTAATATCTGAATGTCGCAGCAAAAATCATGACTCTTCAGTCCAGGCAAAGTTTTTCAGATCTTCTATTGTCCAATTTTGGTCAGCCTGTGTGATTTGTAGCCTCAGATCTGTTAAATGTTTTAAAATGACAGATTTCTGCTTTATATTAAATAGTCTGCTAAAAAAAAAAAAAAAATCAAGTTTAAGATTTTGGCTAAATGAAAGTGCAAAATGTTTAATGCCTTTGAGATGTGATCTGAGTTTATCCTCCAATTCTTCATGCTATTTGATCCAGATTCACCGCTGTATCTGTGTGCATTAATCACTGCTTGCATTGACCTCTCAAATAGGGGTGTCTGTGATCCTTGTATGGTCTGAGTTGACTCAGATTTCAATTACTCTGTGGCATGGATTCATGCAAAAACATGACGGAGAATGTTTTACGGAAGATGTTTCAGTAACACCAGAAGAAACTGCAAGATGTTGTGTCCTGGTACCACAGCCTGACCTTGTTTTGCCAGGAGAGCAAATGTTCTGACAGGATTAATTAAAAGAAAACAAGTTAAAAGCCAGTTTTGTAAACATAAGCAAAAACAGCCTTAAAAATGTCGATGTCTCTTAGCTTCTGCAGTGTTTTATATATTTTTTAAAGATTCAAACTAAAAAATATTCCAAATCTAAAGTCTCATTTTGGTGTGTCTCAACAATCTGGCATTATTTTGGCAATAATGTTTTGCTGATTACACGTGTGATCTTATTAACATTATTAGCGATTTCTAATAACTTCATTCATTCTTTAATTTTCCTTCAGCTTAGTTACTTTATTTATCAGGGGTCACCACAGTGGAATGAACCGCCAACTTTTCCAGCATATGTTTTACACAGCGAATACCCTTCCAGCTGCAACCCAGTATTGGGACACACCTGTACACTTTCACATTTATTACGGCTAATTTAGTTTATTCAGTTCACTTTTAGCGCATGTCTTTGGACTATGGGGGAAACCGGAGCACCCGGAGGAAACCCATGCCACCACAAGGAGAACATGCAAACTCCTCACAGAATACTCGAACCAGCGACCTTCTTGCAGTTAGGCGACAGTGATAACCACTGAGCCAACGTCTCACCTTAAAGTAACTTAGGGTTAGGGTTATTTAGAGAGTCATTCTCTTATGATCAATTTCATAAAGTCACCCGCCTTCCTCCAAATTCTGAAACTTTTTTGAAAAGTTTACAAATCATTTGATTAAAATCATATCTAACTGTAAACAAGCGGTTGCAGGTCCTATGTTCAATACTTTGCTGCTGAGGGGGATTTTATTGTAGATTGAACATAAAACAATGCAAATTGAAATAGATTGAACATTAAACAATTAATTTGCCCCCAAAAAACTGTTAATTCAGCTCATATTAGTTAAGTAGTTTCAACAACCAGCAAAAAAAAAAAAAAAAAAAAAAAACATTTTTTGAGTGTATGTGAATGGTCTCTAATAGGACACAGGGTTGTTGCTAGATCAAATATAGTTGCGGCCGAAAGTTAACGAAAATGATTTATTATTATTTTTTAAATTTCCCATTAATTGTATTTTATTAACGTCTACCTCCCCAACCCTAAACCCTGTATTTTATTAACGTCTAACTCCCCAGTAATGTAAAAACAGTAGTTGCACCGAGTATTATTCATGTTATCTATTAAATTACCCAATACATTTTATTTTTTAATGTCTCCCCCTACCCTAACCTAAAACTCAACCGTCACAGTTATGTAAAATTAATAATTATTGTTATAGAGTGTTATAAAAAATGCTGCTTTATTGATGTGCGTATCGCACTTCCGTATCCAGTGTAGAAATCTAAGGGGCGGGGGTGGGGGGTTGTGCGACGGATCTGAAGGGTGGGAAGGAATGTGGCGGAGAGGGGTGCGCAAAGTTGGTGAGGACCAGGTGGGAGATGCACGGTTTTTGGAAGATTATCATTTGTTTGCAGGCATCGAGAAGTCTCTATGCATTTGAGGGAAACTCACGGAACTTCTGGGAGACTTGGGATGTCTGCCAATAGCACATGTCTTTGGACTGTGGGGGAAACCGGAGCACCTGGAGGAAACCCGTGGCAACATAGAGAGATTATGCAAACTTTACTCAGAAATGCCAACTGACCCAGCTGGGATTCGAACCAGCGACCTTCTTGCTGTGAGACGACAGTGCTAACCACTGAGCCACAGTGCCGCCTGTCCACATATATATTATTGCAATTTCTTTATAAGATGACAAATTATTACTCATTTTCATTCAGAGTTTCAAATCTTTTCCTAATCTGTTTGTAACCGTCAAGCAATTTGGTTCCCACAGCATCTCCTTCTAAATTGTACAGAGTCTCTCAGTTCTTGTAAATGTTTCTTGCTAATGATTGCGGCCCGCTGGGAGCTTTCAGTCAGAGCTCTTGCAGGGTCACATTTGCATGGGAGCAGCTCGTGAAGAATCCTCCAGCTTCTGCTGACACTTTCCTGGAGTTGTTTTTGATTCTTAGAATGGAGGTTTACATTTGTTTGTGGGATCCTTAAAAATAATCTGCAGCTGTTTGCACTTAAAATCCCCCAAAGGAGCGGTCGTGGAGAAGCTACAGAAAATAAAGTGAATAAAATAAGCTCAGGATTATTAACAGAGATCGTGGTTTTGTGTTATTTTTTTAGTTTTTAGCATTTTCACTATTGACGGTATGGTGGTTTAGTGGTTAGCACTGTCGCCTCACAGCAAGAAGGGTGCTGGTTCGAGTCCCAGCTGGAGTTTGCATGTTGTCCCCACTTTGCCATGGGTTTTCTCCAGATGCTCTGGTTTCCCCCACAGTCCAAAAACATGCGCTAAAAGTGAATTGGCTGAACTAAATTGGCCGTATTGTATGCGTCTGTAAATAAGCTTTTCACTCATCATAGCACACGTGCTGCTGATGATGTGACAATAAAAAGTGATTTGATTTGATTAGAGAATGTATGGGTGTTTCCCCTTAGTGGGTTGCAGCTGGAAAGGCATTCACTGTGAAAAACATATGCCGGAATAGTTGATGGTTCATTCCGCTGTGACGACCCCTGAAAAATTAGGGACTAAGCCGAAGGAAATTGGATTGTTACAGTACACCGAGGTCAGAACAGCTCAACTTATATTTGTTAAATTATTTCAAATCATCAATGAATCCGTTTAAACTGATCAAACACAATTATTTTGGCACAAAAAATGCTTCTCTAAAAAATGTTCAAATATTAAATTATTTAATAAATTATTTGTAAATTGACCTTAGTTTGCATTTCGGAAGTGTGCTCGTTTCTCCAATTGTTTTGGAATTGACAGTTGAACTGTCGCCTATGAGGGAAATGACTAGGAAAAACAAACAGCATAAAATTGCTCAACAAACAAGTTTGTTCATGACTATTCACTACTGGTCAAAAGTTTTTTTTTTTTTTTTTTTAAGAAAATTATTCTGTACAATCATTCGGCATTTATTAAATGTAAAAAAGTTACATTGTTAAATATTTATAAAAAATTAAATAACAGCCTTCTTATTGTACGTAGTTTCAAAGAAATTATTACTCCAGTCATTATTGCTTTTATTACTATTACCAATAATAATAATAATAATAATAAATAAATAAATAAATAAATAAATAAATAAATAATAATAATATTTGAGTAATGAAGCTGAATGTTCATCTTTAAAATCACCGGAATAAATTATTAAATAAAATTATAATCTATGTATGAACAGATTTTTATAGTGCAATAACATTTCACAATTTGTCCTGTATTTGTGATGATATAAATGCAGTCTTGGTGAGCAGGAGAAACTTATTTTAAAATATTTAAAAATCCTAATGAGCCCACATTTTTGACCAATAGTTTTTTTTACAGCTAACAATGACTGGAAGTCTCGAACCAATAACGTTCCAATGGCTGAGCCCGCTTGTATGCAAAAAATAAGGTCAATTCTATAAAAAAACACTGAGAATTTATTCATTCATTGATTTTCTTTCAACTTTTTATCCGCGGAATGAACCACCAACTATTCCTGCATATGTTTCACACAGCGAATGCCTGCTTTAGGTATATAGTTTTGTATTATTTTCAGTCGTTTGGGATGCAGTAACACACAGTCAAATATTTTGCTGAACTGATCCATCACTTTTAACGCTCATAAATGTTCATAAAAGTTCTCGTGCTGCAGGTATTAGGAGGTTTGCTGAAGGTGCAGCTGACCCGCAGTGAGGGGTTTGCATCTTTAATACACTAATAAACTTCATTGAAAAGAAAGAATGATTAATAAATCCATATGAAACCCTCTTATGAGTCCCTTAAAAGTCACGTCACGTCTTCAGTTTTACCATCAGGCATGCTTTGCACTTTTTCACACTACAAGCGCACCGCGCCAAAGCCCAACTGAACCGTGCTTTATCACACCTCTTGTAAACGGGCCAGGGCCGGCCAACTGAATCTTACCTGGGCATGAATAGGAGCCCTCACACTTCTCAAACGAGCCGGGAAACGGGGGTCAAATGTGCCTGGGCACGGTTCGAATAGCCTAGTGTGAGTACGCTCTAATAATTTGATTATACTAATTTGTTGTTGATGTTTCTTGTGTCGTCCCACAGATGCAGATACTCGACAAGTTCCCAATCGAGGGAGGGCAGAAAGATCCAAAAAAGAGGATTATCCCATTTCTTCCAGGTGATTTTTGGATGAAACACACACACACACACACACACACACACACACACACACACACACACACACACACACACACACACACACACACACACACACACACACTTACAGACACATTCAAAACACACACACACAAACACATACACCCCCTTCTCCACACACAGACAGACACACATAAAATCACACACATACAAACACAAACATACACAAAAACAAGTAAAATACACACACACACACACACACACACACACATACAAAAACACAATTACAAACACATACACAGAAAGACAAAGACAAACACACACAAAAACACACACAAAAACACACACATACACCCCTTCCCCCCACACACAGATAGACACACATACAAACACATACACAGACATACACACACAAACACTAACACAAAACACACGCACACAGACAGTCAGACAGTCAGACAGACATACAAAAACATCCACACATACAAAACATCCACACATACAAAAACACACAAACACGCACACACAAAAACACACACATACACCCTCCTCTCCACACAGACAGACACACATACAAACACACACACATAGACACACAGACACACACAAACACAAATAAAACACACACACACATACCTCCATATCCACAGTGTCAGCAGATCTGTCCGCTATAAGTCATGGTTATGCTAGGATGGGGTCGTGCTTCTGTTCTTGACTTACACACACACATTTGCAGGAAGCACACTAGTCATTGAGATGAGCAGCACCGTTGCTGAAGAACAAGAGCCATCAATAAGAAGAAAAGGAGGAGAGTGAGACAGAGACACAGAGAGATGGAGACAGGGCTTTTTTCTTGGCTTGCTGACGCAGCTGCTCTTTTCTCTGGATGTGTCGCGTGTGTGTGTGTCTCTCTCTTCTTTCTCTCCATCTGATTCTTTCAGTTTGTTCATCTCTCTTTCTCTCAGTATGAATGCTTTCGCTCTGACTAGCACTGGCTATCCAATGGATCTAAACTGGAATGCAATGTAATTGGTTTAGATTACTGGAATATTAAGTGGATTATAAAAGCCATTGTGAGGATTTGTAAGGGAATATTGGGGTGTCAGGTGGCAAATCATTAAATCTATGCTCTGTCTCTATTTAATTCCAGTCTGATTGTTGGACTCCAGTGGGACGGCGGAGTGGGACAGATTAGATTTCCTTGTATTCACACATAAGAGTTAAAGTCAAAATGATTTGTCCTCTTTTATTTAGATATTAAAAATTTAAAGTCCTCTCGTTATTTAAATATTTCCTAAATGATGTTTAACAGAGCAAGGAAATTTTCACTGTACGTCTGATAATATTTTATCTTCTGGAGAAAGTCTTATTTGTTTTATTTCGGCTAGAATGAAAGCAATTTTTAAAATTTTTAAACACCATTTTAAGGTAAAAATTATTAGCCCCCTTAAGAAATTTTTTTCAACTGTCTACAGAACAAACCATCATTATACAATAACTTGCCTAATTACCCTAACCTGCCTAGTTCACCTAATTAACCTAGTTAAGCCTTTAAATGCCAATTTAAGCTGGATAGAAGTGTCTTGAAAAATATCTAGTCAAATATTATTTACTGTCATTATAGCAAAGACTAAAAAAATCAGTTATTAGAAATGAGTTATTAAAACTATTATGTTTAGAAATGTGTTAAAAAAATCTCTCTGTTAAACAGAAATTGGGGGAAAATAAACAGTGGGCTAATAATTCAGGGGGCTAATAATTCTGACTTCAACTATATATATATATTTATACATGTATACATATATGTTGACTGGCATGTATGCAGTCGACACGCATAAAGGAAAATAGGAAGAGCGAAATAGTTTGTCTCCTTATCATTCCTTAAAGTCTCCGGGTAAACGCTGGGACACCTGGCACCCGTCACAAAACCGATAGCAACAGAGAAATACTGTAGACTGTAATAAACTGTAGGGAGAGATATCTCTGTAGACAAATGGCATTTCATGTCACATTCAGCCTTACAATCTTAAAGTGTGAGCAAAATCAGCTGTTTTATCATCACTTTAGAAATTACGCTATAGAGAGTTATTCAAACACTAGCTCTAAATTGACGTTGGTGAATTAGTAACGACTTCTGCTGTTCTGACGTCAGCTGCAGATGTGAATGATTGGCGGAAGAAAGTAGTTCCTAATACAAAAGGGCTTTAGACTCTCCGTGTTGGATTTTCTTTTTTATATACACAATTGTGCCATCGAACTGTTGTACAAACGCAATACCACACTCATAGCAGTGCGATATGGCCTGCGACCTCGTGCCAAAGCACGCCTCTCACCAGTGCTGATATACAGCCATATCGCACTGCTACTGTACGAGTGTGATATTGCTCGTATATACATACATATGTATGTATGGGGCTGTCTAAATTAGCACGTTAACGCATGTGTTAAATTTGATATATTTAACACATTAAAAAATAACGCAAATAATGCAGTTGCCGTTTTTTTTTTGTTTATTTCTGTTTTGGCTGACGTGTGTTCATAGAGGCGACCTAGGCGTCCGCCTTGGGCAGCAGAATAGTGACCGAACCCCCCGGTCCTCACTTTCATCGGCTACACCCACCCCCTCAGGGATTCAGCAGTTCACTTTCATTCTGCAAATTTTCATTCATGATGTTTTAATGGAATTTGAAACCGCATGGCCAACAGAAAGAAAAACCTCCGCATTTCAAGACCCGGGTGATCTTTTAAGGTAATCAAAAATCGCTGCTTACATGGTAGACTATTAATCAGTATTATCTTAATCATAAAAGTGGAGGGATGGTGTCCATGTAAATGTACTCAGTGAAAGTGGTAGATGGAAGTCCCAAGCTGTCAAAGACAGACTTATTCTCTGCCTTTAAGCTGCTTCCATGAGCCCTCACATTTCATAAGTTTGACGTGTTTCCCCCCTACATGCAACTTTTGTAAAGCGTCTTCTTCACGTTGTTGTGTCAGAATCCTTGTGAAATATAGCCATACTTTAGAACGCTTAGTTTAAGCAAATTTGATGAACGCGCACGCGTGTGTGTGTGTTTGTGTTTCTATTCCACTTATAATCCAACATGGAAATAATTTTTGTGTTATTGGTATTGATTGTTTTGAAATTCAAATGGCACTTAGATGCCTGTGTTTTTATTTCTGTAATACAGCATTACGCGATTAATCATGAATGATTAATTACTAGGGATGTAACAATATTGTAAATACCGTCATACCGCAATAGTAATTTTTTTCAATATTACTGTAGGCGCATAACTCAATAAAACTATATTTCTGAGAAAAGTTTGCTCAGGCGATTGAAGCGAACGGGAGGTATCGGGAACTACAATTCCCATCAGCCTAGGCGTGGCAATCATCCTTTGCGGTCTGATGTCACTACAGATCCAGTAATGCGGAAATGGAGTGTGTTGCTAGTAACGGAAGAAAAAGAGCTGGAAATGATCAAACCTAAAGCGGGTTTTAAATCAGATGTGTGGAAGCATTTCGGTTTCTTTCTAATGCTAATTTGTATGTCATTGATATGTTCAGTGCTAAGGTAAATAAACACTTTTGGCACTTTTTTTGAGTCTATTCATTAGTTTTGTTTTTCCTGTAAATTATTCAATAAATACCGTACCGTGCCATTCATACTGAGGTATTATCGTACCGTGAAATTCTGATACCGTTACATCCCTATTAATTACGTTTTGTGATTATATATATATATATATATATTGTATATATATATATATATATATATATATATATATATATATATATATATATATATATATATATTTATATATATATATATATATATATATATATATATATATATATATATATATATATATATTTTTTTTTTTTTTTTTTACGTTTTTGCCAGTTATACAATATTACAAAAGGCTGTTTCTGCCGTTGGAAAAAAAATTATGTATGATTTAATTCAAGTAGATAATTTGCTCCTTTATGTACAACATCTTTTTTTGTTTGTTTCACAATTTGAGTTTCTAAATTGTGCTTTTTTTTTCAATTGTGACTTTATTTCTTGCTATTGATGCTGATGGTATTTATATCTTGGAAAAGTTATCGAACTTGGCTAAAATATACCATGCTTATCTTTAGATATTTTTAGATTAGATTAGATTAGATTCAACTTTATTGTCATTACACATGTACTAGTACAAGCCAAGGAAATGCAGTTTAAGTCTAACTCGGAGTGCAGTAGCAGCAAGTGCAGGGTATTGGTGTAAGTTATAAAGTGCAATTATAGAAAACTATGGTGATATTTACAGATGAATGTACTTGAATTAGCCATGATTAGAGATTTACAGTAGATGAATATATGTCCAGATTGCTATTAATAATCAGAGGTATAAATATAGATACGAACATAATTAGAAATGTATATGTACAGTGGGTATGTACAATTCAAGATGAATTAGTGCAACATAGTGCGATGCATATTAAAGAATCATTTTGTCAGTCTTTAAGATTTTATGAAACATTCTGCAAGGTAATTTGCACATTTCCCCCCCTCGGTCTTCTAAATTTATTTCTTGCGGTTGAAGCTAATGTAGTTATAACCTCCAAAAAAACTTTTAAATGATGTTAGAGTTTATGAATTTGAACTAAAAGCTGCAACATTTTTGTTTTGCATTCATCTGTCTTTTCTAGCACACTGCTAAGTGTCTCTGAGTGTTTTCTTGAGCTTGAGAACATGACAGCTGGAGTTTTTTGCTATAGGGTGATTTCATCTCCTTCAAACTGTCTGAAGCTGATTAAGATGTTCCAGATCTCAAGAAGAACACATGGCGTTTCTCTAAATGCACTGGGCTTTTCTACAACAGTGAAAGTTATTTTTTCTCTTCAGTCAAATCAGTATTTGTGAATAGTTTCACTGGCACAACAAGTAGCTATTTAGATTTGTTTACTTATATATTTTTTATTAAATTTTGTGAATAATTTTATTTTATTTGTCAACTTTAATTTAACTTTAATTTTAATTTAATTTAATTTAATTTAATTTAATTTAATTTAATTTAATTTAATTTAATTTAATTCCTCCAAGATGTCTGAAGCAGATATCAAAAAGAAACATATTATTTTATTTGATTATTTTTTAATTTATTTTCTTTTCTTTTTTTTTTTCTTTTTTTTTTATATATTATTTCCACCTAAATTTCTGAAGCTGATTGATGTTCCAGATCTCAAAAAGAGACATGGCATTCCTCTAAATTCATTTAGCTTTTTTTACAATTGTGAAAGATTTTTTTTAGTCAAGCCAGTGTTTGCAAACAGATTAACTGGCAACACCATGAATATGACATTTAGGTATTTAGGTTTAACTATTTATAGGTGTATATTAATATGTATTTTTTGTAAAATAATTGTTTACTTGTCAACTTTTATTTTACTTTCAATCATTTAATTTAATTTAATATAATAGTTTTTTTTTATTTAATTAAAATTGATTTATTTTTCTTAAAGACAGGTAATCTGATTTGTGTATAATCTGTTAAATTATATTATTATTATTATTATATTAGTTAAATTATTATTTTTAAGTTAACTACTGCCACATAAATAATGTTACCTTGGCAAAATTATTTTACACAAAAAACCTTATAATACACTTGATAAAACCACTCATGTAGATCTCTTTCATTATTCTTACAAGATTTCCAGGAGTAGACCATGCATTTGATTTTGTCTTTTATTTTAAAGGCAAAATCCTTTTCCGACGAAGTCATGTAAGAGACGTGGCCATGAAGAGACTACGCTTTATTGACGACTATTGCAGAGTAAGTCTCTCATTTCCTTCCTTCCTTCCTCTTTGTCAGAGCTTTTGTTTTTTTGTCCTCTTTTATTTTCTTATCTAATATGCGTAGGCCATATTACTTTATTTAGAAAGCCATTAACATGTGAGAGGTTCTATGCAGCTTTGTCCTTCAACAAACACTGTTTATGTTTGTGTCACATGTTGTCATGGGGAAGTGCTATTCAGGACATCATTAAAAGTGTTGTTATTGCTTTGGCGTGCCTCAGGGTTCAGTATTAAGCCCATTTTCTTTTTTGAAAAAGTTATTAAGGAGCTGTTTGTGTGTTTACTGTGATTATGTTAAAGATACTATAATGGGCAATGTTGCAAATCACACAATTGTGAAAGCATAATCCTAAAAACAAACTTCTTTATCTCACTTTTCTGACTTTATTTCTTAAAGTTGCATATTTATAGGTTTTCTCATAATTGTGGCTTTATTTCTTGGAACTCAAAAGTTTAAAACACAATTCTGACCTCAGAGTTTTTACTTTTTTTTTAGTCTCAGCATTTATATTTAGTTAGTAAAGTCACAATTGCAAAGCATAGACAAAGAATTCTGTCTGCAATGCTGTGTTCACACCAGACACAGCATGTGCGAATAAATGTAAATAGATTTCACGTGTAAATAGACTCGTGAACATATTGAGTTTACTTCTTTGATTCACACGTCAAATTTGCTTCAGTCACGCATGACATTCAAACACAATAGACGCAGATTCCCATCATAGGCGAAGCTTCTGTTTGCCTGGTGACTCTAGCTTCATTGCTAAATGACTAACATGGATGTTATTGAGAGAATAGCTGTGTTTATGTGCTTTAGCAAGGCTGAAAAACAGCGTAGATTCATTTGGCGCCGTGTCTGAATCCACTAGATCCTTTCATAGGTGCACCCAGCTCTGTAAGTTCTCCAGAAACTTTCCAGCTTTCAGCTGGTAGCAGTTGAATGAGCTGTTGTTTGTTGTCAGCAAAGATTTTCCCTCTGGACACCAACAACAGGCACTAGGTCATAATCACGGCCCTACAAGAGCAAGCTCCTGATTAGTTAAGTGCAGACTTTCCAACTCGAGCAATCTATGTGTTAAGCATGTCAAGTGCGTTAAACATGCAAAATGCTCAAGATACGCTGCTTCATTACAGCGAATCGCGTCATTCGCACAGCTATATTTCAGCGAATCACGTCATTCACACCACTTCATTCGAGCGAATCGCATCATTTACAGTGCTTAATTCGAGCCAATCACGTCATTCACAACACTTCATTCGAGTGAATTGCATCGTTCACACCACTTTATTTGTGCGAATCACATCATTGTCACCGCCTCAATTAAGCGAATCGCGTCATTAAATACGTTTTATTCAAGTGAATCGCATCATTAACACTGATTCATTCGAGCGAATTACGTCATACGCTTCCTCATTCGAGTGAATCGCTTCATTCGCACCACTTCATTTGAGTGAATCTCGTCATACGCTTCCACATTCGTGCGAAACGTGTCATTCACACCACTTCATTCGAGTGAATCGCTTCATATGCTTCCTCATTCGAGTGAATCGCGTCATTCGCACCACTTCATTTGAGTGATTCTCGTCATACGCTTCCACATTCGTGCGAAACATGTCATTCACACCACTTCATTCGAGTGAATCGCTTCATATGCTTCCTCATTCGAGTGAATCGCGTCATTCGCACCACTTCATTCGAGCGAATCTCGTCATACGCTTCAAGATTCGAGCGAAATGTGTCATTCGCACCACTTTATTCGAGTGAATCGCATCATACGCTTCCTCATTCGAGAAAATCCCGCTGCAGGATGTCTGTGCCCTTGAAGCTTCATCCGTTTCTGGTGTGAACGCAGCATAAGATATATAGCAAATGTGATAAAGTTTGCAATAACCATTTTCATTTTAAATGGTTATTTACTTTGTCCCCTACCTCATACAAGTATTTTAATTTGACTGTCTGTGGTCATTAAAAATCCCAGGATGTCTTTGAAAAAGAAAATGGGTTTAACCCCAGCATCCTGGCCAAATTTGCCCACTGGCCTCTGTCCATCATGGCCTCTTAACCATCCCATATCATAATCGGCTTCATCGCTCTGTCTCCTCTCCACCAATCAGCTGGCGTGTGGTGTGCGGTCTGGTGCAAAATGGCTGCCATCGCATCATCCAGGTGGATTCTGCACACTGATAGTGGATGAGGAGATTCCTTCCAATGTGTAAAGCGTTTAGATTGTCCAGAAAAGCGCTTAATAAATGTAAGGAATTATTATTATTAAGTCTAGTCAACTAAATATGCATAATGCAGCTTGCTATTCTTAGAAATGTGTGACCCTTTATATAAAATGCTGAATTTAAACTATTTAGTGTACTTTCAAGACCCCTCAACCTTTTGTTTTGACTTCCTCTAGGGGGTTTCAAGACATAAATGACAGTGTCAGATCCTCACAAACCACAAATAATATACGCTTTGAGTTTTATGCATGTTTATCACGTTTGAGAGCGAATTTGCCTCATTATCGCATAATATCTGCCATCTTGCTGAAATCTGATTATGCTAATGTGCCGAACAACAAAATTCCCTCAACACAAACAGAAATGAGTCTGTGAAAGGCTTTGACACACACAACACATTCAGTTACACAAGTATACAAATGACAACAAGCACTTTGCCGGTAGTCGTAGCTAACCCAATAACAGCCCTAAATTACTTGAAGGGATTTTAATGACTTGTTTCTTTATCTTTTCCCCTCGAGTGTCTTGTATCTTTCCCTTTCCTTCCCCCTCCTTCCTGTTGGAATAGAGACCACTTTTTTTTAAACAACACACACACACGCACACACACACACATACAGAGACAGTGGATGTAAACAAACACAGAGGCACACTCAAATGGAGAGCAGCTGTTAAACTGAGCTGAGATACTGAGCATTATGGGATGTCTTGGATGGTGCTGTTGTGACAACAATCTCCATTACACTCACATAAAGGATGTCACTTTAGAACCTAAAATTAAACATCCTTCTGATGCTCATCACTAGTGTTACATCCATTATTAATTGCATATTTAAATATGTGATGAGAGAATGAAACACACACAGAAATATTAAAAAAAAACTGAATAATGTTGACTGGAAATAAAAGTTAGCACTTCAGGTTTGTTGTTCTGGTACTGTATGTTTAGTTTATGTACAGTTAGAACAGGAGATGTGCTATTATATTATATTATATTATATTATATTATATTATATTATATTATATTATATTATATTATATTATATTATATTATATTATATTATATTATATGCTATGTTTATATATATAATTATTTAAATTTTAATTTATTTGTATATATTTAATATATTATTTAGCACATTGAAATAAAGTGTTGATTTAAATTAATAAATTTTTTTATTTAAATTTTTATTTTATTTTATTTTATTCTATTTTTATTCTAGATTTTATTTATTATATTATATTTGTTTTTTTTTATTTTATTCTATATTTTTATCTATGTTATATTTTATTTTTTATTTTCTTTTATTTCCTTTCCTCCTAAATGTCTGAAACCGATTAAGATGTTCCAGATCTCAAAAAGAGACATGGCATTACTCTTAATTCACTGAGCTTAATTTGAGAGACATGAATTGAATTGACCTTTTATGATTTATTTTATTTATTTCTTGCATTTTTTATTTTTGTTTTTTAGTTTAAAAATTGTAAATTGTGATCCAATATTTTTACATGATACAATATTATTATAGTTTTACCTTTCTAAAATAAAGGACTAAACTAACAGAGATTTATTTAAAAGTGCCCTATAATGAAAATCTGGGTATATACAAAGGCATAGTAGAACAATAAAAGTTTAGAAACTGGTATCATATAAGTCTCAGACTCCAATTTTTCCTCGTTCTCATGTAAATTCCACGAGTGTAAAACCCGGTGGATAACAGGCCAATCAGAAGACATTACTCTGATTGGGTTTATATTTGTTCGTGTTCAGCGTATATCAGGCTGTGTGTGTCTGAGCTTAATAATTTTCACGACACAAGTCATATATGCTCAATCATACACTAATCTAGATCTATCTAGATCTAACTCTATGAGTATTTTGTGAAGTAATAAATGAGCTTATTAAACCGTTTCTGGAGATTTTTTAAACTTACCAATGCCATAAACCTAATATGTACTGTAGATATCAGAGAACAGTTTAACTTATTAAACCAATGCAGTATATGGCACCTTTAAGTTGACAGGTGATCATGTAATTTTTTTGCAAGTTCAGCAATATTGTATTTAAATTTATTATTGGAAGTTGTATTTTACTGTTTTTATTATTTACTTTATTTTTTATTACACTAAATTAAAGCACACAATTGGCAGCCAGTTTAACTTAAATCAACATTTAATTATGCGACAGTTAATTGTATGACATTTAGATAACTAACTTCCTCCAGATTTCCTCTGTCCCTTCCCTGTAAAACAGAGAGAGAGAGAAAGAGAGAGAAAGAGAGAGAAAGAGAGAGAAAGAGAGAGAGAGAGAGAGAGAAAGAGAGAGAAAGAGAGATAGAGAGAGAAAAAGAGAGAGAGAGAGAGAAAGAGAGAGAAAGGGACGAGTCTTTGAAGAGCTCAAATGTAGGATGTTTACTAGCTATTTCCTGTAAAAGCCTTAATTAGACAAACCGTCTCCATTTAATTGCATTGTGTTCTTCAAAGATAAATAAATAACAGCATTTTTCTCCAGGGATTCTTCCCTCTCCCTCTCCCGCTCCTTCCGTTTTCGTTTTTTTCCTTCTTCCCTCTGTTCTTTCAATAATTTTCACATCGTGTTTGAGAGCTTGTAAAGCAGTTGAAACAGGCTGAATTTGTTAGACAAATGTTTAAGTGATGCATTGAAGCAAAATCACATCTTTATCACAGAACTTTAAAGGGTTCTTATGTAACCATTTGTATGGGACCCTTTGGTTCTTTGTTTATGTAAAACTCTTTAAATTGCCACTGTGTATAAAATGTGCTATATAAATAAACTTGCCTTGCCTTGTATGGGACTTGGTTGCTCTATCAAGGAAGCTAAAGACCATGGCCCCTAGCATCTGTCGCTAGAGCAGGTCAGAGAAGTGAGGTTTACCTGCATAGCACTTCACTAGCTGGCCTCTGTTACACCACCCATCCCCCCCCCCCACCCCCCCCCCCCCAAATCTCACTCCCATCCCTGACAAGCCCCCACATGTAACCCACTGGTCCTACTTCACCCAACCCATGCTGAGCTTGTATCGAACCGGCAACTTTACGCATGGGAGACAATTGCTCTGACAAGGTGGCTAAAGACCATGGCCCCTAGAATCTGTCGCTAGAGCACCTTTTAGAGGTCAGAGGAGTGAGGATTACCTGCACAGCACGTCACTAGCTGGCTTCTGTTACACTCACCTCCAAATCTCAGTCTCATCCCAGACGAGCCCCCACGTGTAACCCACTGGTCCTATTGCACCCAACCCACGGTGAACTGGGATTGAACCGGCGACTCTCCGCATGGGAGTCAGTTGTTCTATCATGGAGACTAAAGACCATGGCCCCTAGTGTTTGTCACTAGAGCACCTTTTATAGGTCAGAAGAGAGGTTTATCTGCACATCACTTCACTAGCTGGCCTCTGTCACACTCAACACCCCTCCCCCAAATCTCAGTCTCATCCAGGTCACTCCACCAATGTAACCTACCAGTCCTACACCACTCAACTTGCTCCGTGCTGGGATTGAACTAGCAGCTATTAGTATGGAAGTAGGTCAAGTAGCACATAGCATCAAGGAGGCTCAAGACCTTGATCTCTGGCGTCTGTCCCTAGAGCACCTTTTATAGTTTTTTAACTACCCCACCTAAACCTCACTTTCATCCGGGTCACGGCACCAATATAACCTGCTGGTCTTACACCACCCAACCCACTCCGAGCTGGGATCAAATCAGCAATTCTTTGTATGGAAGTCAGGTACCATATCAAGGAGGCCTCTATTGTCTGTCACTAGAGCACCTTTTAGAGGTCAGAGGAGTGAGATTTACCTGCACAGCACTTCACTTGCTGTTACACGTATGATGAAAATGTGACTTTATCCCTGGTTTAAATGCTATAATAGGATTCAGTTGTTATAATTATGTCCAACTGAACAATTTATAACACACGGAAAAGGTAAACCAATTTCTTTGAAAGTATGTCAAAATATGAGCCATTTAGTTTTCGATTCTACAAGCAGGATCGTATTATATTATTACTGCTGCTTTATCTGCATGTTTCCACCCACATCACCACTGCAGCAGTTAACATTCATCCTAAGATACTGCAGCAGTTCGACATTTAATGTCTGTACCAGAAAAAAAAAATCGAATGTTTTGTCATTGGATGTTTAAAACAAAACAAAACAAAAAAAATGTGTTTGCCTTCATTTTTTAGAGTTAAATTAAATATACCTCAAGACTCATTTTATTTTATATAATATAACTTAAAATTATTTTACACTGACTTTAAATACTGTGTACAACAGCACATTTTGATCTTGAAATGAGAAAAATACAGCCACAATTGTGAAAGACAAGTCCAAAAATGACTTGAATAAAGCATCCCCTTTGATTATGTTTTCATTTGCTGAATTTAATTTAAGACGACTATATAATGGTCTGTTTTTCTGTCCGCCAGGCACTGGTGCGGCTTCCTCCACAGATCTCTCAGAGTGAGGAAGTCCTGCGCTTCTTCGAGACCAAACCAGATGATATCAACCCCCCTGTCGAGTGAGTGTCTCACGCACACACATAAAGACACACACGTTTGTTGGTTTTGGTGGTTTATAAGGCCTCTCCATAGGCGTAATATATTTTATACTGTAGGAACCGCTGATTATATGGCCCTACTCCTAAATCCAACCCTCAAACCCAATTCGAATGTTAAAAGACATTGTAAGTATGATTTTAAGCTTTTTGATTTACAAGGACATCAGGCGTGTCCCTGTAAACCTCCATAATAGATGAATCTTCTAACTACTTATTTAAAATGAGTTGAATTAATACAATTCTTATTTTTTTTAGGACAACTTAATTGTTTTATGTTCAATCCACTTCAATTTGTAAAAACGAATACGTTAACTTAATCAATTTGTGTTGGGACAACATGAAGGAATTGTGTGGAACCCACCATATTTTACAGTGTAGAGTACAACAAGGTCATACCCATGTCGTCATACAAAAAAGCTGTCCTTGTAATCCACTAAAACCAGTACACACACACACACTGATTTATGAGCTGTTTTATTCATGTGGACCAAAAAAATAAATAAATAAATTTCTCCATGATGACAAAATATACTGGTGTTGCTATACTTGTGGGGACATTTGATCCCAACAATTTAAGTAATACAAGGTACACACACACTCCAGCAGAAGTCTCTATTTGATTTTCATTTGCGATTTCGCAGTCTTTTAGCATTCAATGCTATGTGCTCAGATTGGTTTCAGCATCATAACATTGACTGTGCGCAGTAAACACACTGCATAGAAATAAACAGACACGTAGACATACACTTGCATAATTTACAGCACTCCTTTACACTTTGCATGGAGTTTTGAATCTCCTGCCGTATTTACATGTTTTTACTTGATTAGATTTTTATCATTTTATTCTCAAAAATGTGACTTCTTTATGTTAAGAGTGTGTGTGTGTGTGTGTGTGTGTGTGTGTGTGTGTGTGTGTGTGTGTGTGTGTGTGTGTGTGTGTGTGTGAACTAAGGTGCAAATGTGTGGAGGAAAAGAGAAGCGTTTTCTTCATTCTCAGGCTTTAAGTTAATCGCAGTGATGGCATTGTTTAATTAACACTGATGCGGATATGTAGAGTCTTTTGAGAGAGAGAGATAGAGAGAGAGAGAGAGAGAGATAGCGTATGTGTGAGCGTCTTTCCCCAGGCTGCTCCATAATTAGCTCTTGTGAATCCTGTGGAAATTTGAACCGAAAATGAATTAAATTCAGAGATGAAAGACAGGAGGAAAAAATATGAATAGAGGTTTTTTTTGTTATATACTATTTAGATGTTTCCCAAAAGTTTGGGGTCAATAAGACATTTCTTTGCATACATTTTATACACATTTTGTTGTTCAGCAAGAACACATTAAATTGATCAAAAGTGCCAGTGAACACTCTCAGAAAAAAGGTTCAAAATCTGACAGCTTTTCAAAAGGTACATTTTTGTTTCTAACAGGTCAAGTCAAGGACTATTTTGTGGTTTCTGCCTGGATTTTGCCTACCCAAATTTAAAAGCTTCACATATCCACATGCAGAAGTGCAAATGCAAAAGTTTTATATTAATATATGGTATTTGATTCTGTGTGGTCTAGGTTGCTGTAATTAGTTTTGTTGGTTCCTGCACATATCTCTATCATAATCTGTGCAAACGTTATTCTATTCCAATTGATGAGAGAATGAAACCACTTATGGGTTTTGGGCCAGTACGGATCTTTAAAATTTTAAGAATGCAGAAGAAAATGAAGTACTGCATACGCAGAGTTTAAGAGATAAATATTAATACTTAAAAAGTACAAATATTTACCACACAGTTACTTAATGGCACAAAAGTGAACCTTACAAGTACAAAAGGGAACATTAAAGGTGCTACATGTACAGTACAAAAGTGAACCTTTTGAAACAGGCTCATTGTAAAAATCTACTCCAGTATACATTTCTTGAGATCTCGAATTATGTAGCCAGAGCTATTTACGGCTAATTAAACTATTAAAATGAACGCTATGGGGCGGTATAACGCTGCCAATGGCTTTTTTCTTTTCGCACTACCAGCTGACTACCTATCTCTGTGTGGACAGATTTTCAGCTGTTGCCAGTTTGCCCACTAGCTCGACATGTACAGTATACAGCAGACTTGAGATGCAGAGAGGAATTAACCATGATGACAGGGTTCGAGTCCAGAAAAGCATTTATAGCAAAAACCAAAGGCCAAAAATTAAATTAAACAAGTAAATAACAGGGTAAGAACGTGGTAAGATCTATTAACGTGGTAAAAATCAGGAGTCCAAGGTCTTTTCTTTTTCGGGATTGCTTTTGAAAACATTATCAATTGGGTTTAGGGAAGGGGGTAGGTGGGGCAATTGGTCGGTCAGTCAGTCAGTCAGTCAGTCAGTCAGTCAGTCAGTCTGTCGACAGTAGCCTTTGGTGGATTTACGTAAGGACAGCAGGCGTGAATGTTACTCGTGAGAGAAATTTGAGATCTGAAAAAGCATACACAGCAGCCTCTGGTGGATTCGCAAAAACAAAAACTGAACAAAACGTAGCTCCTTGGATGTATTTAGCACTCTCCAGAAATGTATATAGGGGTACGTTTCAATAGCGAGCCTGGGTTGTTTTAAAAAGGTATCACTCCAGTGAAAGATTTTGTACCTTTATTTCTTTATTTTTAAAGACATTTCTAAAGTTACTTTTACAGTGACGCAGTGAGTAGCACAATTTCTGTGTGGAGTTTGCATATTCTCTCCGTGTTCACTTGGGTTTCCTCCGGGTGCTCTGGTTTCCCCCACAAGTTAGGAGAATTGAGTAAGCTAAATTGGTCATAATGCATGTCTGTGAATATGGATGTTTCCCAATGATGGGTTGCAGCTGGAAGGGCATCCGCTGTGTGAAACATGCTGGATAAGTTGGCGATTCATTTCACTGTGGCAACCCTAGATTACTAAGGCACTGAGCCGAAAAGAAAATGTATGAATGAATGAGCTCAAAGAATCTTTAAGTGTTTTGTTTCCACAAAAATAGACATATAGTACACAGAAAAAAAATATTCATTGGATTTACTCAATTTTTTTCAAAGGTGGGTGGTTGCAAACAATTTATATGGGCTAAATTTAAACAAACAACTTGAATTTAGTAATTTATATATATTTATAGTATATTTATAATTAGTAAATTAATGTAATTTAATTTGTTCAAATTCAACCTATATAAATAGTTTGCAACCACTTACCTTAAAAAATTGAGTAAATCAAATTAATCATGTCTAATCACATGCAATCACATATACAGATATAGAGAACATGTAGTACAGGTAGTCATTATTTAGATTAATAACCATGAATTAATTCAATAATTAATTTAATAATAATAGAGGCTGCATTAGTGTTATACTATTCAGTCTCTCATGCTGTCTTGTTTGTTTTTAATCTCATGTTGTCAGCCTTGCTTTCAGTAGTAGTGGAACAAAAAAGAGCCTGAGAGCATTAACGTTCATCCTTGCGTCTTCAGATTTTTCTCTTCTTCTTCTCTACTCAGAGCTGTCCGTCACATACTCCTTTTACATTCCCTGCTATTCTTTCCCTCTGTCTGGATTTTTCCCCAGTGATGTGGAGTAGGCAATCTATTTTCACGTTCAAAACACATTCATCATATGCTGCAGCAGCTACACACACACACACACACACACACAGCTCACTCTTTACAACCACGCTGTAGCAAGAAAAAAAAACTGTCTTCATTTTGTCTGTCATCTCCAGTGCAGCCTTGAACACTCATGACTGTATGTAGCTCTTCATGACTGTGGTCCTCTGTTACACTGAAATATGAGTGTGTTTGTGTGTGTTCATGTTTGTAGAGTGAAAAACACACCTTACTAGATGCTATCAAGGACATGCTAATATGAACTTCATCCATATTTTTGACACTGTCCCCACAATGCATTATAAATTATTCATATTGCATTTGAAGCGCAAGGTGATTGCTTTACAACTTGTGTGCTCCTGAGGTCAAAGAGACTTTGAATAAGACTACTAGGTGTTTTTTGGAATATAAAGAATTTGATTAGTGTGTAGGCACGATGGCTCAGTGGTTAGCACTGTCACCTAACAGCACAAAGGTCGCTGGTTCATGTCCCGGTCTGGCCAGTTGCCTTTTCTGTGTGGAGTTTGCATGTTCTCCCAGTGTTGGCGTAGATTTCCTCTGGGTGCTCCTGTTTCCCCCACTGTCCAAAGACATGCGTTATAGGTGAATTGGATGAACTTAATTGGCTCTAGTGTGTGTGAATGAGAGTGTTTGGATGTTTCCCAGTACTGGGTTGCAGCTGGAAGGGCATCCACTACATAAGTTGGTGGTTCATATGTTGTCTAATGTCCAATGACATCCCTAATTAAACTTACTTGACTAGTTACCCTAATTAACATAGCTAAGAATTTAAATGACACTTTAATTGTCATTTAAATAGAGCTGAATGCTAGAACCTCGCAAAATAACTAGAAAAATTCAAGAAAGACATTAGTAAGAAATTAGTTACTTGAAATAAGGAATTGAAACTATATATTTTTTTCTTTTCTAACCGAATATTAACCGTTAACTGGTCAAGCTAATATTAAAATATAATTTAATAAAATAATAATTGACATGGGCGACGCAATGGCGCAGTAGGTAGTATTATAGTACATAGGTAATATTAATCTGGGGTCGCCACAGCGGAATAAACCACCAACTTCTCCAGCATCCCATCTCTGGGAAACATCCACACACACATTCACACACACACTCACACACTGCAGACAATTTAGCATACCCAATTCACCTGTACCGCATGTCTTTGGACTATGTGGGAAATCGGAGCACCCGGAGGAAACCCACGCGAAGGCAGGGAGAACATGCAAACTCCACACAGAAACGCCAACTGAGTGGAGGTTCGAACCAGCCACCTTCTTGCTGTGAGGCACCAAATTACTGTGCCACTGCTTCACCCCTTTTATAATTTTTTTTATATATATTAT